TTCCACTATCAAATTGATTGCAAAGAGGAGACAGTGGGCAGGGCTGTAATTAGGGCAGGCGCGTGCAGTATGGATTCTTGAGCAACAATTGGGTTCAGCAGCCGGGTGCCCCGTTTGTCTGAGCAGGGAAGCAATGTGAGTTCAGCCATGGACGCTTCTTTCTAAGAACGCACGGAACGTGTTCTCGCTTTCCCAGGGGAGAAGCAAAGCGCTGCTCCGATGGACGGAGCGGGGAGCTCGGTACGTGCGCTGCTTCCATCTGCGAGCCGCCACGCTTTGCTCTGTCGGAGCGCGTCTTCCCCTGCAGCGGGACGGCAGAAAGACGAGCGGTGCTGCAGCGCTGGGCCGGCACGAGGGGCAGCGCTGGTGTCCCCGCGGCGAGCGGAGCGGAGCTGGGGGCGTGCCGTGCGATGGGTGGGCTGAACCCGGGCATCTTTTCTGCCTCTGACGGATGCGCGGCTGCTCCGTTCCTTTCTCGCCGCCCGGCAGCGTCGTGCAGGCCGGCCGGGAGCCGCTCACCATGCCCGGCGCCCGGCGGGGCCGCAGGTAAGTGAGCCGAGCAGCGGTCAGTGCCTGCGCTTCCTCCGAGGGCAGCCGCCCTGCTGCTGTGCCTTTCCTTCTCGACCGACGTTTGGCCGTAGAGAGAGGGACGGATCGGGCCGGGCACGGGGAGCGTTGTGCTGTGTGCTGACAGCGGGTAGAGGCTTTTATTTTCAGTTCTTTCGCAGCCGTGCTGCGGGTTTGTTCCGGTTGCTGCCTCTCTTTGTCACCCTTTTGCTTTTCAGGCCGGCTCTGTCAAGTTCCAGTTCTGTTTAGATTACATCTGTACCCCATCCAAGTGACCGCCTTTGTGCTTCCAGGGCTGAAATTGTAAGTTCTGCTGTCGCTGATGCCTCTGAGCAGCAGACGGTGATTCAGTGTTAAAAAGTGGAACGAAGCAGTTCTTTGTTCAGCATTGCTTCGTGGTTTAAGTTCTGTGTGTTGGTTTGAATCACCTTGCAGGTCTAAAGGCGTGTTTGTAGAGAAGGAATTGTCCCTTTCAGTTTGTTTTCTGGCTGGGTTTGGTTTGCACCACCTGTGGCCCTTGGTAGAGGAGTGTCTTTTTTGGCAGGAAATATCCAAACCGTCACAGGTGACACAGAGCTGCACGGAGCTGGGAGCTGAGGGTGCTGGGCTCAGGGCTGTGGGTCGCCTGGGATGAGGGAAAGAGGCCAGGAGGGCTCAGAGCTCCACACTGAACCCAGTTTAAGAATTCAGGAAAGGATTTGGGTGCGCTTTGCTGCTTTTAATTTTAGAAAAGCTGCGTCTGCGAGGAATTGCCTGCAGGCTGAAGAGATAATTAATTTGGGAATTGTGCAGCACGGGTGAAATATTGAAAGGTCTCTTCTGATTTTACGTGGCTTTACATCTGGCAAGGACGGGGTTCAAGGGCAGAGCTCTGTAGCTGTGAGCCCGGAATGCAGCGGATGAAGTTGGCGCTGAATTTTTAACTCACACTTGTTGGCTTGGGGACGAGCTGGCTGCAGCAGTTCTGTAAGTGCAGAAACACCCTGACTCTCCTAAAACACCACTTTGTCCCATCCAGCCCAGGCCTGGGTTGGGATCCTGAGCGCTTTGCTGTCATTCAGGCAGCTGAGACCAATGAGGAACCGTTCCAGTGAAAAATACATGGGTGTTTCCTACTCTCTGCATTTCCCTTTCGTTCCCACTGCAACACTGCGGTTGACTGGGAGGTCTGGTGGGGGTTGTTAAACAATCCTCCCTTGCTAAGGGGTTTTGTGCTTGAATTAAACTGTGGTTTAAGATGAAAGTTGGTGGACGCTCGATGAATGGGGGCCATTCCTCCTGCCAGCATCGATGCCGTGGTCCCAAATCTTGGTAATAATCCCCTAAGGAGGGCATTGCCTACCAGAGCGTGGGGCTGTCGGTGGTGCTGCGAGGTGAATCGTTTGCCCGGGCTATAAATAAAAAGCTATATTTGGAAGAATAAAAAAAAAAAAAAAACAACAAAAAACAGAGTCTTTATGGGCAAAACTGCACCGAGGGAAATGCGATGGAAAATTTGAGTCAGATGAGCTGATGTGTGAGGCATTTCCCTGTGGGGTCACTGGGCTGAAAAATGTTTTGTGTGCCTAAAGTTGAGCAGATGTGTGTGCTGAGCCCCCAGCCTGGCAGCCGCCGTCCTCGCCGTATCGCTGTGCTTCGTTTACGCACAGAGCTGCTGTGCATTTTCTGGGGGTGTTTTGGGTCATCCCGGTGCTCAGCACGTGCCCGCTGTCAGCAGGGCTGCTTTCAGGCTTTAAATTAGGCGTGTGCTCAGACGGGTCGCCGAGCTGGGATTGATGGCTTTGCACAGGAGCGAGGGATTTCTCCCAATTAGCTTTCTTAGATGAAAATCGCCGAGGTCTTCCAGCGCTGTGCCTAAATAAGGGCACGATACCAGCTTTCAGCTCTTACGGATATTAGTTCCACCTTTTTAGGTAGGCATTTGTTAGGAGGCAATTATGATTGCATGTGCTTGACCTTGTTTAAGATATTGCTGAGATACAGAGAGAGGACATCTGTTGTGGGTGATCAGCAGCTTTTGCTGTTCTTCCCAAGTGTAAACGTTGCAGAGGTGGATGGTGATTGTGGTTGATGATTTTCCTTTGTCGTGTTCCTCTCGGCCATTGATCTGCTTTGCCCAGGTGGTTTGATTTGCCGTGGAGGTGGCTGTGCACGCTGCTGCTTCTGCTGAGCTCCCAAAGCCCTTCCAAAAGGTGCAGCGTTGTTTCCACATTGCTCTCCTGATTGAGCCGCACTGCTGAAGAAATGTGAAACGGGTCTTTATTTTGGTTTTAAACCCGAGGATGGCTGTGGTGCACTGCTGGAAGACGCAGCGTGTGCGGTGATGAGCAGTGCTTGTGGCATGAGGGGGTGTGGGCTCTGCCCAGGGGGCCTTCAGGAGAGCACTGAGCTCCTACAAAGGTGGTTGGGCTCTAACGAAGGTGGTTGAGGTCCAGTGAAGGTGGTTGAGCTCTAACAAAGGTGGTTGAGGTCTAACGAAGGTGGTTGAGGTCCAGTGAAGGTGGTTGAGCTCTAACGAAGGTGGTTGAGGTCCAGTGAAGGTGGTTGAGCTCCAATGAAGGTGGCTGAGCTCTCATGAAGGT